GCCATTCGGTGTGGCCATCCTGCACAAAACAAGGCAAGCGCTCTGGAAAAGGTCAAAAGACTAGAAAAACTAGAAAGGATCGGGGATCAAGATTGCAGACGCAAGTGTCGAAAAGGTTCGTTTCTGCCAGCTTGTGGTTTTTGCGGCTGGTCAGTAACAATTTATGTGGTCGTATAAGAATTGAAATCCCGCATCCCGCACTGTTCCTCTTGCGAATCCCGCATCCCAACCCCAGAAAAACACGAAATCCCGCTCCCGCTCGTAATTGTAATTCCCGCTTCCCGCCCCTGCTTTCTGCTCAAATCCCAAATATCACCGCGAAAAGAAGCCAAATCCCGCACTCCGCCAAACCTATTGGGGACCCTCTTTCAAGGCTCCATCACAAACATGGTACTGATATCTATGAACTTATTAAGAACATTTCGTCCTATAAGCTTTCCTTCTTCAAAAAACTGGCGCTAAGTCGTAGCCTTGACTTTGTTCTTCCACAGCGAGTGTCATCCGAAGAAATCGAAGCTGCTTTTGAAAAGGCTTTCTGGAAATTAGAACCGGGGTTGAGTGGAGAAAACAAAGAATTGGGGGCTGCATCATTACGTTCGATTGCCTTGAATTACATCGAACGAAAGACCCCCGCACCACCAAGAGCAATGAGAGCAATCGACCAATTGAAGAAGAATGACATTGTTATCGCGAAGCCTGATAAGGGATCAGGAGTGGTTGTGATCAGACTATGTGCGCCTTCAGAGAGTCCTCCATAAACAACGAGACCAAGTTTAGAACAGTATGCGCTGAAAGACCCAAAATGAGAGAAAGACCTCCCAAGCATTTCCACCCGCTATTGCAGAAAGAAAAGGAGTTAACTGCTACTGTAGAATATTGCCCAAGGCAGTTGCTGGCACAGTTATCCAAAATGGTTCGAGTCTAGCATATCTCTAGTTATCGTTATGGCTTGCCAAAAACCCACAAGCGGAACACAGCGGTCAAACGCCGGGCATGCGCAAATGGGTACATTTTTTGGCAGCCGCGCACCAATTTCCCGCGCAAAAATTTAAAGGAAAACATGGGAAACAACCGGTGTCACGCAAAATTTACGAAAAAAAATTGAAAAGTTCATGGAAATCTGTAAAAGGAAAAGAAAGTAGGTAAAAGGAAAACTTAAGACTTTTCAGACACAAAGTTAATTGAGTTTCCCGTATTCTGTTGATTTACCATTTTGTTTTGAGCTTTACCAAAAAAATTTATGTCTTGAAAACCCGTGTCATGCTACGAACCGACGGCGTCGTATATTTTTATGTTTTTATTAATAGTACGATGCGTGACGCCGGAAACGGACGACAAACGGTGTGTAAAAGAAGGAAAAATGGAAGAAGAAAAAGACAATTGCAGTGATTTGGCTTCGCTCAGACAAGCTGGAAAAATTTTGGCAAGGATTTGTCTGAAGCACAGCAACGAGATGAATCGAAACGACAAACGATGTTCATGTCCATCGTCATGGGGGCATAGCTGGCCAAAATACCGATCCCAAACCGCCTGTACCTGGTCTTTGACCAGGTGGGAAAATCTTTTCTAAACTACAAACCTGGAAAAAACTGGTGCACTAAATGCAAAGTCGAGGCGGACAGAAAATTCAGGGAGCTCGGAAAATACATACCACGGAAAAGAAAGAACTGCAACAAGCAGAAGGTAGCACAATTTTTAACTCTTATTTCTGTTAGCTCTCGTTGTTAAGGCTAAAACATAAACAAATATATAAATAACGAGGGAAATGTGATTTATAGGATGCCGATGACTCACGAAAAGAACAATGTCATTTTGACCGCCTTTTAGTCGCTCCATTGCTCGTACATGTGCAGACGTTTGACCGCTGTGTTCACAAGCGACAACCAGCAATGCAGTCGATACTCGGTGCTGACCAAAAGGAGCGCGGCCTCTGGGGACGAGAATGGTTAAAAGCCCTAAAACTCGCCTGGATCCCGAGACTGTTGCGGACTTCGGACAACAGTGATTGGTGTATTATTCCGCTCTCCTATAAGAAGATACTAGACTTAAACGAATTTAAAACTCTTTACTCGTACGATCAAAAAGCAGGAGTTAGTATTGTTTAATAACAAAGATATATTGGTGGACGGGAAACCCATCTTCCTTAGTGAATGGTTTGAAAATGGTATTCTATCGATTGATGACCTATTGAATGAGTGGCAATTTTTTAACATTCCACGAGTTCCGTAAAAATATTCCTGTGAATCCAATTTTTTACAGTATTATCAAGTTGTTAGCGCTATTCCGGAACGCTTAAGGTCTCTCGCTAAATGCTCCGACACCAGCAAGAAATCATTCTTTACCCGAAATCATATCTTTTCCCTCGACGAATCCACACAAATTAATCTGCACAAGGCTAAGTCAAAGGACTTCTATAATTTGTTTGACGTCAAGATTCGCACCGACCCTAAACGTTCGAGCGAAAAACTCTCTTTAAAGAAAGACGTGTGAACTAAGATTTTTAAATCACTGAAAAACATTTCTGAGGAAACTTAACTAAAAGAGTTTCAAATTAAATTAATCCATAGAACGATAGTAACTAAGAAAGAACTATTTAAATTTGGTATTAACGCGGACGATGAATGTCTATACTGCGGAGATAAAGATTCAATTGAGCACTCTTTTATCGAATGTATGTTTACCAAATTCTTTACCCAAAAAGTCTTGAATTGGTTCAACCAAGTGAATGCGTGCCAAATTTCTCCTACCACAGAGGAGATCTTGTTCGGTACCCACGACACAGCAATAATACGGAAATTCAGCTACGCTGCCTCATTTATGTTTTGCAGGAAAAAACTATGCAAAATTTCAGAAACAGTTTCCACGAGCAAGATTACAAAGTATTTTACAGTCAATTCATTGTTATGAAGTTCAGACAACACACAAGTTAAACACTGTGGAGTTTTAATTTCCGTTATTCACATTTGTTTGCACAACTTATGCTGCATGCTGCTTCTTCCAGGCGGCGAGCGGCCCATGATCTGCAATGTACTTAGCAATTACTCCATCAGGTATCAGTTTACCAGAGGCTCGCCACTGCTCATAGGTCTCACGATCAAACTTAGTGAAGCCCCATTTCTTGGACACATAAATCTAGAAAACAAGCAAGTATTGCCAACATAAGTCAACAACATAAGTCAACATCTCCACAAGAGCTTATTACATTTAGCCAGTCTAGAAGAGTGGTTACTGCTGCATGAAAGAGATGCCTTTTGCAGCATTTCACCCTGACCAAAAGTCCGGGACACTCGTTACTTTTTTGATGGGGATTTGAGCGGGGGATTGGGGGGGGGGAAGATGGCTAAATAACAAGACGTGGAGAGTATTTCCTGGCAAGAGAAATAAACAATCATGTCCTGCCTAGGATTAATCTAAGAGAAGAACAGTTCATATTCTAGTACACATTTGTTGGAGTCAGAATCCTAAGTTTGAGGGGAGAGGGGGAGAGGGAGAGGGAGAGAAATTGAGACTAATTCGTATTTTAATCTGTAAATGTACTGTATGTACATGTCACTGTCATACAGGGTCAAACAGTTCTACAGTCACTCACAATTTACCTTGATTTGTCACTGTTTGGAACCTCTTGTAATATTGAGTTTTCATCTATATAAAATATCATTATCATTTCTGACCTACAGGAATTATTATTTGATTGGCGTATGTTTTGAACTACAGAATTGTGAATGAGGACACTTTATAATGCGCATGCACGTCATTAAGTTGAAATCCTGGACATATCTGAGGGTCGGAGGATTCAAAACAAAAACTTGCCATGAGAGGGCTATGGGTATTTTCTGTAACAACACAATAACATTTAGAAGTGGTGGAAGCACTGAAGCAGCAGTCCTAACACAATTGAAGGGGTGAGTGCAAAACCATGCTAAGTGACGATTTGGGTGAAAAAAAAAATTTCGCGAAAGGGCTTGAATTTTTGCATGTGGTCTTCAATGTAATAGAAAAACATGGTCCTGTATTTTTCCCGCTGGTTTTTGCTTCGTTTATAAAGACGCCGCTAGGAAAACCGAGTGGTTTTTTTGCATACGCAATATCTCGAAAACGAAGCGAAGCTTAGCGGAAAAACTACGGGACATTGCTAAACAAACCTAAACAAAACTACATGCGAAATTTGGAGCGTTTTTGACAAAGTTCACTTTTGATTAAAATACCTAACGCCCTTTTCCCGCCGAGGCCTTCAAATAAACGAAGCCAGGCCTTTGTTATGATAAACAGAGCCGATCCTTTGTTATAATAACCAAGCCAAGCCTTTGTTATAAGTCGAAGTCTCGCCNCAATTGTGTACTGACCAATCACAATAAAGTTCAGGACACACTGGCAAACCTCAAAACCACAAGCTACAACAACAACTTTATTTGTACTCAGCTAGAAATTAACTAAGTAATGTTGCCGTTTTTGGTTTGGTTTTCTCAAGCTTAATTGGCTTTTTCCTTGCTTCACAACAACATTCCATAAATATTTCTGGTGTCTAAGTTTTCCTGAGTTTCACAACTTTCACAATTATCGGAAAAAGGCTTTATGGGAAAATCACTTTTAAGCAATTAGCCTCAACTAAGGTTGAAAAATATAGTGCTCTGGGTAGCAGTTTTCTCGTCTAAATTATGTGACTCTGTAGTGAACACACCCAGCTGTTACACCAGGCCATACATTTGTATTGCAAGAGTCTGCAGTAATTTTGAATGCTATCATTATTTCTACACAACCAGTAATATTACCTTCTGCCTTCCAGGGAACTTGAACTTAGCTCTTCTCAAAGCTTCAATAGCAGCAGCTTTGTTTCCATCCTTTGTCCTCACAGACATGATGACTTGTCCAATGTTAACACGTGCCACAGTGCCCTGAGGTTTGCCAAAGGCACCACGCATACCAGTCTGAAGCCTGAAAAAATCATCAAAACAATAAATTGCAATGCCACTTGAAACAAACAATTACAAGGAAAAATTGTTTTGTTATATTTATAGCATCAAAGGTTAGAACCATTGATTCAAAATGGTAGCCACTAAAGTAAGCAATTGTTCCTCTTGGTAAGCTGTACAACATGTTACACAAAGTCAAAAGTTTCATAGAATCTGCACTGAACTTAATGTATTCCCAAAGGAAATACCCATAACTTGAATTAAAAGGCCCTTTGCAGCTAAGCCATCACATGACCTATTTTTCATAAAATTATGGGCTATAACTTAACGAATGCCAGAAATGGAAAAAGCATGTTGAAAATATCAAAATGACCAAGTTTGAGGCCCCCATCATTAAAGAATGAGATTTTATGACAGTCTGAATTTTTACAAGAATAAGAAGATTTGGATGGAAAAAGTTGTTGGAGAGCAAGACCTTGCTCTCCAGCAACATTTTCCATACAAATAATGTTAATTTCTGAAAATTCAAACGGTTGTATAGACTTACTCTTTAACACCAGGGGCCTCAAACTTGGCCATTTTGGTATTTTCGATATACTCTTTCCATTTCTGGCATTCTTCAAGTTATAACCCATAATATAAAAATTTTCTAGGAAAAATTTGGTCATGTGACTCCAGCTGCAAAGGGCCTATTATGTATGTAATCAACAGCTAATAATGAACAGAGAGTACACGTAAATGGATAGTATACTAAACGGTTCTGGTGAACATTTAAATGGCTAACAAATATTGGCAAACAGCTTGGAAAAACGTTTGACTGGTTTGTGAAAATTTCCGTATGGATACTGGAAGCATTACAATGTAGATGGTTGTGAAAAATTCTCAACTGAGTGTGCTGGTAGCAAAAATGTTTCAATAGAAAACTAGAAGCATTTAAAACGGTTAGCTAACTTTTTCAATGGTTCGACCATCTAGGGATTGTTCAAATCAAAAGATTTAATCCATCTGTGAAAAGCACTTACCTCCTGCTCAAAACAACATTAATGAAATCCTGCTCTGAATGGTACATAAAACATGATTCTTTACAACCAAACTTACCTATCAGCTCCAGCACATGACAACATTTTGTTAATCCTGATGACGTGGAATGGATGCAGCCTCATACGCAGATGGAAGGAATCTTTACCACAATTCTTCACCATGTATTTGTTGCAGCAGATACGGGCCGCTTCCAAGGCTTCACTTGAGAGCTGTTCATACTCATCTGACACCATATGAACACAGAGTGGAAGCTCATCCACACGTGCCTTTTTACGACCCAAGTCATAAATTCTTATCTTGGCATCTGTGAGGTAAAAAATGAAATGATGCTGTAAAAGGGGGTAAAAAATATACTGCCTGATATGTTTATTATACTGAATGCCAATGTATCTATAGAAGGTAGAAAAAAGTTAATGTTCTAGCTACATGTATAAGGAAAGATCCATCCAGGGCTAACAGAAGTCATGACCAATGGTCCAAACATTCACTATTGTACCAGGACCATTGCAGTTTATTAAAAGTTCCAACAGGCAATAATTATCCATTGCCATTGCCAGAAAATAACTGTTCAAGAAAGTAACAGTGACCTCTACCTTGTAGAATAAGACTAAAAGATGCTGTTAGTCTCGAGCTACAGAACAACTATTACTGCACCTTGTAAAAAGCAAAATAAATTTATTTGCAAAGTAATCTAGAGTGTTTTGGATTAGTGAAATGGATTGCTAGGATTATCAGTTGAGTAAGGCACAACTTAAGTTTGGTCACCAGGTTTTAATGTGAAAAAAGTGTTGTTGTCATGGACATCTGGCTCTGTTTCCAGTGGCAACTTGTCGGTCTTTGATGTCATTGGTAGCAAAGCATGCAAATTTATAGGTGACACATCAGGCGACAAATGGCTGTAGACATTGTTACCAATGGAAACAAGGTAAGTTGCCTGTGACAACACAGTAATTTTAAGGCTATAACTTTGTCACCAAACTTCCATCATGCTTTACTCAACTGATAATTGTAGTATGGCTCTGGAAAAACTCTTCTTCTGATTACTGCCTATTCAATGAAATATATACAATTTAACCCCTCTATTTTGAATTCTCAAGGGAAATGAAAAATAGTTTGAAATAGTGGGGATTCAAAATAGGCGATGATAGTAAATGACTGAAGGACAAATCCAAGGAAAATGGTTTTGAGTTGGAAATAATGGGGAATTTAAAATAACCAAGTTCGAATAAGCAGGTCAAACTGTACTTCAAAAGCAGACGTCAGAATTCAAACAGAGAAATAATTCCTCACCTGGCACACCACGGCAGAAGCGAGACTTGGGATATGGTTTGTTCTTACAGTAACGATAACTATAACAGAAAAATACATATGTAAATGTACATCAAAAACTGATCACTTTACCAGTAAAAGTTTAAATTTCCTCCTTTTTTGTGTGTGCAGTAACCAGAAACAGTGTTGGAGGACTGATGAGATCAAAATGGTTATTAATGCCATACATTTCTTCATGATGATGCAGAAAATCTAAATACGTTGAGAAATACCCATTGTAATTGAATAGGCCATTTCTGAGTTGCCTATTGCCTCTGTGTCAAAACAAGTCTTCATGCAGAACTATTCATAAGAAAATGTGTTCCGCCTACAGGTTCATCTTCATGCAAATCGTGCAGATTTTGCAAGGACTCATTTTGAAACAGAGGCACAATGTAAAATGGAAATGGCCTATTACTTCAAATGTCTTTTTCATGTGGGCCAGATGCAATACTGAATGATTTTTCTTAATATGAATGAAAAATACACTGCCTTTAAACCAAAATAATTTACAAGGTGTGATTATTAAATGATATAAATTTAAACTGTGGCTAATTGATCGGCAGCCGGTCAAGGTTTTCAAATCACTAAATGACCGGCAGGCTGATATCGTCATATGATTGTTTGAATTGGATGGGTTCCTTCGATTCCTTAAATTTGAGAAAAATTTCAGACTGCCGGTCATTTAGTGATTTAAAGACCGTGACCGGCAGTCGATCTAAAAAAAAAAATTGTAAGTGTCACAAACCAGCATAAACCAAGCGTTAGTCTTGCGATCTATACAGCTTTTCTGGATCGCTTGGTAGTTCTTAATCGACATGTGATAGTTTGAATTGAATGAGTTCCTTCGATTCCTTAAAATTTGAGAAAAATATCAGACTGCCAGTCATTTTGTGATTTGAAAACCATGACAGGCAGTCGACCCCAAAAAATCTTAAGTGTCACAAACCATGGTCTTGCTCT